TTGGAATCCTTAGAAGATGTAAGTTAAATATAATATATTTATGCATTTTAATACTTAAAATAAGCAAATATCAATCTGTTTATTTAATATTAATACTGTTAAAATATTTTAGGAAATTATGTATATTGAAAACATGACTTCAAATACTTCACCGATTAATTATTACAAAATAGTTTTCCATTCAGCTCTTATGTATGGATTTATTTATATACTTTATTATTTTGGTATACTACCTTATGAACTATTTAAAAATAATTATATCATGGCTGTTTTTGCAGCATATCCAATCATGTAAGATTTAAATAATTTAAATATTTGGTAGGTTCTAATATCAGTTATTGTTTCAGAGCTCTTTACTATTATAAATTTGATGTTTGGTATTATAATCGAAAAATAGTAACGTATAAAAAAAAATTAATAGAATTAAAATCTGTAAAAAAAAAAATACTTGATGAGGTAATGGAAAAAGAAACATTTAAAGTTGCAAAAGAAATTTTAGAAAAATATGCTCCTCATCAACTTCAATCCATGACTTCTCAAAACGTAAGTAAATCTAAATTTTTTATTTTATTCATATTCATTATGTTAGATAGTATTTTGAATTTAGATTAACCAAAGAGCACTTACGTCTACAAATAATAGGCCACCCTATGCTTCTTCTGGTAGACCATTGAATAGGACATCAAATGTGGGTCATCCACCAGCAATAATGTCATCAGCAGTTAAGCCAAGTTAGCATTATTCTTATTATACTGTACTATATATAATTTTTAAAATATTAAATTAAAACTTTTATTCAGGGTTAGCTCTTCCAAGACCAATACTCTCAAGGGATCGTACAATATTTGATCGTTTAGCTGATAAAGTTTTAGGTGATGGACCTCAAAATCGATATGCATTAATTTGTAGAACATGTGGTTCTCATAACGGTATGGCTCGTAAAGAAGAATTTGATTTCTTAGGTATGAATATTACATCTCATAAATTATATTTATTACTAGCTCTAGATGTTATTTTAAATTATTGAAAAGAATTTTACATGTTGATTTTGTTGCAAACATTTTATTATTCCTCAATATAATGTAATAATAATTACAATGACACCTCGCTTAATAGACATTTCTATCAATAAAAAAATAATAATATCTTAAAAATGTCTACCTGTCCATAACATATTCTTTTTGTTACAAATACAAACAGTAATATTTCTCTTCAATACCTTGATAATGGACAGCAATTTTAGTTCAAAATAAAATATAATTACATACTATGCAACAATGTTGTGACATTGCTGTACAGTTTTACATAAAGCATGAATTAGTAATTACAATCTACAGTGGTCGCGTTTAATGTAATCACTTTGGTACAGGACATAACTGATAACATAATCCAATTGATAACATTAAATGAAAGTTAAAAAAGTTATAAAAAAATAATAAAATCTACGTTAAATACATAGTTAATAAAAGTATAATTTTTTTATTTATTATTATTTATTTATAAATAAAGTACATATGTAGCTATAAATTGGAAATTTAAAATTAAAAAAAAAAAAAAATTAAATGTAAATAAATAAATATGTATAATATGTATATACACCACTAACATTTATATATTTATTACAATTTTTATCTTTATTATGAGATATTTGACGAAAAATTTGATTGTATGTTACAAAATTATGATTTTATGAACTCAAACTGATAATATTATGCAGCATATTGATTACAAAAAACCGACTAATTTACACATATACAATAAACGATTGATAACATTAACTGTGCTTATAATAAGCGGCGACCACTGTATTATATATTTTTATAACACCAATAAAAATGTTAATTACATTTATTTATAATTATTTATGTATGTAACTCTATGTAAAATATATTATTTATATCAGTATTCTTTTTAAAGTACAATTTTTCATTAATTAGATATGTATCTGGATTTAATAAAAAAATAAATATATGTATCAAATTCTGGACATCTTTAATGGTATTATAATAGTGAATGAAATACAGGTGTCAGGTTTCACTGTACTATCATGTTTGCACTCATTGTGGTGTTAAGTTCTATCTAATTCTACTTTATTCAATATACATTTGAATGCATTTATGTCTACTTATTAGTTAGTAATTGAAGTTAAATTTTTTTAAGGAAATAATAATATTGTTAATTTTATTTTAAGTAATATTTAATTGTAGCATATAGATGTGCATATTGTTCTCAATGGAATCCATCTCTTAAGCCTAGACCTCAGTTAGCAATTAGTTATGACAACAATGCATTAACACAAAACGGCTGTGTTACATCTACTGAAACTATTGAGGAAATAACTGATGAAATATCAAAAACTGATTCAGACACAAATGACAGTGAACATTCTGAACATAAAGATTTAATAATTAGTAAGACTAACAATAATATGCTCTGTTATGTTTTTTAAAACATGAAATATATTTTTCTATTTCAGATGATTCAGGTCCCACAATTGAAGAAGTGGTAGATCCATCACATGATTCAAATTCTAAAACTGAAGATGAAGAAGAATCAAAGGGTAAATTAATGTTAAAAAGAACTTAGTTAATTTAAGAGGATGTCATACCTATGTGCACAACAGTAATTTGATAATTGAGTCAATTTTTGTTACATTTTTAGCTAAGAAAACAAAATTGAAATTGCTCAATGTTAATGTTGGTATGATGTATATATTAGTAAAATAAAACAGTGACAGCATGAATATAATATTTTGAGTAGCATGACTCAAAACTCTGTAGTGTATATCGGTTGATGTATAAATGCCTAGAAATGTAAGTTAGTAAAATCTTCATTATTAACAATTTATCTTAGTATTTTTTAGTCTGGTCATGAGATGAATGTCTGGAAAAAGTACTATTCCTTAAAAGATTAAATTATTTTTGCTGCCACTAAAATAAATCCACTGCATGTGGGTACAATATCCTCTTAAATCTAGGTTTCTTAAGTAATAAATTCTTTTAAATTATTTGTTAAAATGTATGTTATATATTTTAGATAATTCTTCATCAGTAGCTGAAGAATCATTGGAACTTCGATCGTAATAAAATAAAACCAATCATTGTGAGAAGGAACAATGAAATTGTGTTTAATTAATTTAATATTTGTTGATTTTTAAGTTTAAAGTTAAACAGAGGTTACAATTAATCCCATAATAATGAGAATATTTATTAAAACATATTTTTAACTAATTCTCTAATATAAAATTTGTTCACAGTTTAATAATGTATACAGGGTATTTATATATAATATTTTTTAATTTTTATGATATAATCAATCATAACTTTAAATTCTTGTTAAAAACTAATGTATTTTAAAGCAATTTTATTAATACTTTACTATTTAGGAGAATTGTATGTGTTCTGTGATAGAATTTCTATCTTTTGGTTGATGTAATACGTATATATATTTTTTTTATTAACGACTGATAAATATAAATACATTGGTTAATTCTTTAGATTGTGTTGGTAAATATTAGTTAGTAAGAATCAAAATAGTTTAAGCTATAAACGAAAGTTTTGAAGATATAAAACATAGTCAATCCACCACTATTGCATATTATGTTAAAACAAACAAATTATGCAGTTAATTCCAATAAAAAATTTTATTTTCTTTAAATATTAGCAATTTATAAGAATAACCATTATTTTCTTACATCTATTTTATGAATGGCTGTTGTACTGGAGCACGGAATTTCTAATGATTGGACAACTTAGTAAATTGCTTTTTGTAGAACCAATTGTGTTATTAACTTTAATATTAAATGAAATTGATTTATATCAAAATTATATAAAAAAAAAAAAAAAAAAAAAACAAATACTTTTCTATTTATTAACTTTTAAGTTTATTAATTGGTTCTACTAAAACAAATTTGCTACATTGTATATTTGTGAGACAAAGACAATACATACAAGTAAAGCATCAATAGTAATAAGTTTACAGTAAATGGTATATAATGGTATATTATTTTATTATTTTATTATTTTTTCATTTCATATTACATTTATAAATTTTAAATTTTATGGTTACTCATAAAACGTCATAGTTTAAGTCATATAATATATTCATAAATATAGCTAAACTGTAAATGGATTACTTGTTGAAAATTATTATTAAATATGATTCTATTATTTTTTAATTTTGTGTTCATTGAGAACTGAGGAATAAGCAACTAAGTTGGTGGCCACAAGAATATTTATCATGAGTACACTAAGGACATTTTTCAGTGTAGTTATAAATTTGTATTTATAGTTTATACTATTGAATTTGAAAAAAAAAAAAAATGTTAAAATTATGGTTATTATATCAAAAATATTGCAATTATTTCCGAAATAGCACTGCACATTTTCTAGATCATTATTGTAGCACCATGGAAAAGTTAATAATATAAATTTAAATTAATTTTCGGCAACCTGCGGCTGTATGGCATCCTACAAATGATATGGTGTGGCATCCAGTGGTCTGAAAATTATCAATACCTAATTATTTTTATATGGACGACGGCATGGCAGTCAACGTGTTTAATTATATAACATTCCAAACGTAAAAAAATAAACTATGTAAAATTAATAAAAATTTAAATTATATTCATTTATTATTTAAAAACTTAATAATGATATAAGTAATAACATTTTACAATAATGTTTCTATATTTATTAACAATAAAAATAAATAATACAAGAATATGAGTAACAATAGTTATTTAATTTAACAAACTGAATTGGCATAAAACTGGTAGCCAAATCTTAATTATATCAAATTTAACAGTCATATTTAGCGGTTATTTATCTAAATTGGCCCAAAACCAGGAATGTTTAGTACACTACGTTTTTGTTAATTAAGATATCAATATTCAAAATTAAATTAACATTTAAAAATAATGTGTTATTTAAAAAACAAATATTATTAAATAAAAAAAATATGAGATACAATGGTTGATGAAAATGTAATGAAATTAAAAAAATTGTCTTAACATAATTAAATATAGTTAAAATTATAATATTATAATAGGTGACTGTGGGGGTGGCGGAGGAGCTTCTATTGGTGGAGGTCCAATATCACATTCACTAGATGGTAAAGGTGATGTAATGTTTTCGTAGGAATGTAATTCAAATCTATTACAGAAAAATATAACTTGATATTAAAACATAAAATAAGTATAATATTTAGTATTTATTAATTTTATGTATAACTATAAATAAATCCCAATATTTTTAATCAAATATAATAATAATCTGTTTTTATTTATAATAATTTTGTATTTTAACAGTTAATTAATATTTTTTTTGAAAGTTAATAAAGATAAAAAAAAAATTAATTAACTAAAACTCTAGAGAAGTATACACTTATAAAATTGTAAAAAATTTAAAAAAAATACAAATCAATTTGAATATATATTATAAAATAACTTAAAATTTTTTTTGATTAAATAAAATAAAAACCACAATTTTTTATTTTATTTATTTTTAAATCTACTTGCATTTAAAATAAAACTAAATTTATAATACTTGATTTATGAAGCATTTATAATTTGAAATATATGTATATCTACATACTACGAGTATCCTCAAGTGGACAATCAATTTTCTTAAATGATTGAAAGTTTAATATTAGATAGGTTTATACTATTTTCTGTCGAGTAAAAAGTGAAATTTTAACACCAAACTAGAGGTAACACATTTCAAGTTTCAACTACTAATATCAAATTAATGTAGACATACTTACACGTTAGAAGTAGGCGAATTAGGACATGAATCTGCAGTAGTTGGTATAGCTGGTGTTGGTGTAATTGGTTTTCCGGGATCATAACCAAGGAGTTCAACAACATTTGATTTGTCTAGAGTTGGAGACACTAAAGGTGAATCAGTTGTAGGATATGTGTTGCATGTAATAGCATTTTTTAAGACTCTCTGAGCTGTACAAGGGTTTAAAGTTGGCACATTTTCTTCACCTACAACTGTTGCTAGTTCATCTGTATACTTTATGTTTAAATATTCACGGCCAAACATCTCAATTTTCTAAACAAAATTAAAAAATCAAATAATTTTATTCAACTGCAAAACACTGTAATTTATTTAATTACTAACCTTTTCAGCTGATATTCTTGAACATATTGATTGTACATAGTGATTGATAGCAGTATAAATGAACTGATATTGGGCTTCAGATTGTACTAGTCCAGGACGAAATGATCTTACCAAATGTGTGGTGCGCTGAATATCCAGTTCACAGTCAAGACCTAAATAATATAAAATCATATTATACTTTAGTACTTCACCACTATTTTTAAGTTGTAAAACATACCTTTACGGTTTATTAAACCAATGAGAAGGTCAAGAACAACAAATGTACCGGTTCTCCCAATTCCAGCACTGCAATGTACAGTTAGAGGGTGTGAAACATCCGAGCGAGCTTCTATGCTGAACTGACGAGCATTAACTACAAACTGTAGATCAAGAAGTGATCCCGCATCAGAAGGAACTCCATGATCCGGCCAACCCTAGTAAAAGTTATGGTTTTGTGAAAAGAAATAATTTAGGTAATAATGTTATATTCAAGAGACAAGTGTGGAATGATATAGATGACATCCATAATAATGGTTCTCATTTTTGAAATGACAACCCCCAATTAGAAACTTAATTTAGTTTTTGGCACCTAAAAATATTTTTCTTATACATAACATATATTATGACTTTATAGAAACTAAGTAATCAATTGGCGATCACTAATGAGTTAATTTTATCAAATAGTCAAATTGAGAATCATTAATCAATCAGATTTATTTTTTATGTAAAAAAAAAAAAAGTTAAACTCTTCATATCTAAAAGTCTCTAACGCACATAAGTTAAAGAACATATTGGTACTAGGTAATAAGCATTAGTTTAGAGTATAATTTGTTCAATAAGAGAATGCAACTTTAGACACATCTAAATAACAGAAGTCCCCCAAGTGGTCATAGCCATGAAAATAGTGGTGGAATGCACAAACTAAATGTTTTGGTTATTGCTAGATTGCAGTCTCTCGTGGCACAAAGTATAGTAACACGTAATATTTATTACCATATAATGATATTGAAATATTCTTCTATGTCTGTAATTTGAATAAGTCATTTCAAACATTCTCACAACCATATCTTGTTGATGAGCATATTCTCCAAGATTTACAACAGTAATTTTGCTGTACTCATTTTTCTGACCTAGATCTGGCCAATACTTTATACATTTTTCCTAGAAATTAAAAATTATTTTTACAATTTTAAAATACTTAAAATATTTAATGGGAACATACTTTAGACTTTTCAAAAAGTTTTGTAATCATAACAATTATACGAGAATCTTCCTGCCATATCATTTTCCAAAAGTCATCAACTGTATTTTGTAGACAACCTTGAGTGACAATGTAATTACGTGTTTCGTAGTTATCAGCCAAAGCAAATGGCTCAAGCTTGAAAATTATTAACGTATTATTATTTTTAACTTATTTGAAAAAAGGTAAAATAATTACTTTGATCATATTTGCATTGATATAGTCTGCACCTGGTATACTCTTATCACAACATTTTAATATAATTCTTGAATGGTCATCTAAAAAAGATATAAACAATAGTAAGAAAATTATTATTATGACTTATTGATAACACAAACATACATGGTAAAATGTTACGATATCGATTCTTGGATTTATTTTCATCTAAAAAACCAATATCTTTTGTTGAATCTCGTTTTGTTTCCCATTGTTGTAACACATCAAATTCTTCCCAAAATCCCCCAGTTCCAAAAGAATAATGTTGATATTTCTGATGCTAAAGTATAAAATAAGCAAATACTTAATATATCGTGGTAAAAAAAAAAAAAAAAGCTGTCAACTAAGAAACCATTTTCATGTATAATAAGGTACAGAAAATTTTGTCATTAAACTAGGATATCTACATTTTATTTTAGTTAAACTAAGATAAATATTGTTTGAACAAATTTCAAGAAAAAAATCTTATCATTCTATTACGATTAATCAACAGTTTTAAAACTTAAATTTTACCAAAAACAATTATTTTATTAATAATTAGAAAATTTTAATAAAAATTTGAATTTTTTTGCTATTATTTTAAAAAGTATGCAAAAATTTATTTTTGTAAGCCACCAAACTAAATCCAATTTACTACAAAAATCTTTCTCAAATTTGATAATAGGAACAGTTTTACTGATAAAAAAAAGGATCTTCGGAGAAAAATGAAATAAAATAAAATAAAAATACTAAATTATAATTACTGATTTTATATTTTTATATGATAGTTTTCTTCAAATAAAATAATAATTAAAAAAGCAAAGAAAAATGAAAGAAATTAAAAGTTTGTTCACCAAGTATAATGAGTACAATACTCAAAAAAAAGAAAATAAAAATCATGAAATAACTCACCTTAAGTTTGAAAACACGATCAACTATTCCAGCAATACTTATTCTTGTTACATTTACTGGATTCATTAAGTGCATTACAGATCCATTATGATCAACCATCGGATTGAAGCTGTAGTATTTCATTAAATCATTAAGCGACAAAAATTCTTCTCCACCACCAATATCATACTTTTCTCCCTTAACATAAAAGTACAGTTATAAAATTAATTTAAAAATAAAATAAAAAAACTTAAATTATAATTATTAATTTTTTATTAATGATTAAAATAATAATTTATAGATTAAATATTGCTATAATAAAAATTTATAAATAATATCAGCTGAATCTTTATATCTTTATCTTTAATATATAACTAACAAAATTATTACTTTTATTTTTCAGTTAGTATCTGTGCTAAATATAATAAATATACCTTGTGTTTTCCTTAACATTATTAATAATACCATTAATTATAGAATATAATTAATTAATTAATTTACTTATTTATTTATTTTTAGTTTATTCTATAATCAATGATAATACTCATAACTAAAGTATTATTATATTATAATACTTACATTAAATCTGATTTTAATTTCAGCTACTTTATCATCAACATTTACAGTCAATACATAATTTCCAGGGTCAGATTGCGATTCTCGTACTAAGTAGCTACCAGGACGTCCTTTTTCTAAAATTAAATACTCTGCTTCTTTTCTTGACATTTGTCCATGGAACCATCTTTCATTGGTTGGCTCAGGTGAACCAATTGGTATTAATAAAGGTAGAGGTATACCACCTTGTTCTTTGAGTACTCGTGGATGTGTCATATAATGTTCAACAAGGTTTGTTAGAGTTGTAAATTTTTCACCACCATTGAGATCAAAAAGTTCACCATCATTATGAATTTTTATATGATTAACCTTATTGCCATGCCTAAGAAATATTATTAAATACTAAATGATTGCACATATATAACAAGAATAAAAATATTTTTAATTTGAATTTACCTAACAGATAAGACAAATTGTCCTTTTCTGCTATACGATTTCCTAACCAAAAATGATCCTTCCACACCTTCATCTAAAAGTATACGTTGAGTGTCCATGCCATTTAAATGAGAGTGAAACCATCTGATTCAAATTAATATCAAAGGTAGTAATAGAACAAAAAATAAATTTATAATAATGATTGAATTAAAAAATATGTCTAACCTTCTGGACATTGTGAAGAATTACAATAGATGCACAATGTGCAAAGAATTCTGCTTTTTACTTTACGTACTGCAATAATAAATTTAAAAAAAAAAAATTATTACAATTGCACACATACCTGACGCGATAACATTGCATGAATTAAGGAATTTTTTTTAAATCGGTTTATGTTTTTTTTTTAATGTTTATTATACTCACATAATCTCATAGCCTACGGAAGGCGCTTTGGTGGTTTTGTCAAATTGATCGGAATAATGCGTGAACCAGAAACGATTTCCTACACATTCAGAATATTAATGCGCCGTGTGTCCTTCATTGGAGATGACCATCGCAACAACAACGACGAAACAATCGTCTCGCATAATACGCATAATTAACTAGGAAACGATTGCAAGATGCGAAAAAAAAGTATCTATAAGTACCCCGCCGAACTGTGTGTTTAATGTCAATTATCTAAACGGTATGTATAGTATTGTTATAATAAATGACATTAACGTTATTCAAACGTGTGCGAAAAGAGAAAAAACTGTTGAGAGTTTACGACAAAATGTACGAAATATTAAAAACACCATAATAATAAAACGTATATTATTATTATTATTATTATTATTATTATTGTATTGTAAGTTGTAGTGGTGGTGGTATTGACAATTGACTATCGACTCGCAAAATAACTTAACAAAGTTTCGTAACGAGATAACATTGATAACAACCCGCTGCGGAACTGCAGCAAACTGAAGGTCTCTGCCGCAACACCAACCAAAGGATTGCGCCCACAGATGCCTACATATCATTTCTGTGATTGCACAATTCTATAGGTATGCCGCCGTCGCCTAAATTTGTAATTTGATTTTTCCATGATAACCTTAAATACGACAAGACCGAATAGAAACGAGTAGAAAACTGTTATCATTTTAAAAAAGACATTTTTTAATAATTATTAATACGATGTTTAAGTTTATTATTGTTTAATATTTATTATTTTTTAAGATAATTTTGTTTCTAGAGTAAACTATAACGCATGTAGAACACGTTTAGTCTTTAATAGTTTTAAAAATATGAACCACAATATTATTGGTCAACGTTAATATTGTTTGTATTCCAGTTTTCAATCGTCCCAATCATGGATTCCAATTCGGAAAACGATTTTCTAGAGGAAGACTATTACTCAGTATTGAACCTGCCCAAATCTGTTAGTCAGTTAAAAAATTCCAATATATTTCTAATATTTTTACTAATGTTTTCTGGTTAACCGTAATACTGAATATTTTAGGCGACACCAGAAGAGATTACGTATGCTTATCGACGATTAAGTAAGATCTATCATCCTGATAAACATGTGGATGAAAACAAGAAAAAAGAGGCTGAAATATTATTCAATAAAACTCAAAAGGCTTATGAAGGTATAGCTATATTGTGTTGATTTTTAGTTTTATTTTATTTTTTAAATGTGCATTTTTTCTAGTTTTGAAAGATCCTCACCAAAGGGCAATCTATGACTGTGTCGGGGTAAAAGGTTTAAAGACTGAAGGATGGGAAATTGTTCATCGAACAAAAACCCCACAAGAAATTCGAGAAGAATACGAAGCATTAGCAAGGTAAAAATTATAAAGTTAAATATAACAATGAATATAATTTATAATATTATCATTTTAATAATTTTTTGTCAGGGATCGTGAAGAGAGAATGTTACGGCTTCGAACAAATGCTAGAGGTGTATTTACTGCTAAAATTGATGCTACTGATATTTTTGAACCCAACCAATACTTAGATTTTGATAATGAGTAATGTCTTGCCTCCTCTCCGAATAAATGTATTAACTAACTAATTTATTAATTTAGAGATGATAGTTATATTTATATACCTTCCATTGAAGTATCGTCAATGTCTATGTCAATGTCTACTGAAGCACCAATTACTTTACGTGATACAATTGTGCTTAGTGGAAATTTATCATCGCGTTCAGGTTCAGGTATACAATGAAATATATTACATTATATTTAAAATATAATCTATATAATATTTAAAAACTAGACAGGAAAATTATTTATTTAAAATAAATTTAGTATCTAGTAGCTATAAAAGACTTTTGAGTACCAATGGATGGGTTAAATATGATGTTACTGCTGGAAATGGCCTACATGTGGGTGCTAAAATATTCAAGTAACTATATTTTATTTACAATTATTCTAATGCTGTTTTTTATACAAAATATTTATTTTAGAATGATAACAAAAACAATATTTGGAACGGTTGAAGGAAGTTTAAATGATTTATCAAGTGGCACATTAAAACCTATTGGCCGAGTATTGTTAGGTACAAGTTTAGGTGCCCGAACCACTGGTTATATATCTCTTGGTGGTCGTTTAACATCGATTAAACATACCAGTTTGTCAACTGAAGTAGAACATAATACTGAAAGAAGTTACTGTATGTGTAAACTAGAAATTGGACTTGCTCCAGCTATAAGTGTGTTATATACATGGAAATTTATTGAACAAGATTTATTATTAAGAATTTATGCAAGGTATATATATATATATATATATATATATCTCAATAAGTCTTATACAACAAAAATTTAATTTTGTTATTTCTTTTATATTTAGAGCTGGTGTCTTGAATTCAAAACTTGAATACGGAGTTGAAAAAAAAGTATCTAAATTAAATACATTTGCAGCTACTGTCCAAATTGATGTAATAAATGGAGTTACACTTAAAATAAAGTATACTTTTAGTTAATTAATTTATGAGTGATTATTTATTATACTAAGTAAATTTTTCAACGTAATTTGATTTCAGATTTGTAAGAGCTAGTCAAACATATATTTTTCCAATTCTTCTAAGTCATGATATAATTACGCCTCCAATATTTTATGCGACCTTTGTACCTTTATTTTCATGGTTTGTAGCAAAAAATGTTATTTTGGATCCAATCATGAAAGATTATAAAAATAGAGAAATTAACAAACAGCGTGAAATTAATAAAAAAAGGTTAAATTTAAATTATTATATTTTTTTTCATTTTTTTAAATTTTTTTTTTTATGTTTTTAGAATGGCAGAACTGCGTCAAGAAGCACTGTCAGCTATCAATTTAATGATGGCTACAATGGAAAGAATAGTGAGGGAAGAGACTGAAAAACGTGGTTTAATTATTACTTTTGCAAAATATGGCAATGCTGAACTTCTAAATCAATCCGAGCAGTCATTTGATAATACTGATACATTGCAACCAAACATTATTGATGTAACAGTCCCATTACAGTGTTTAGTTAAGGATTCACAATTAATACTCCACTCAACTACAAAAGTAATTATTCAAATATTTATTAAAAATAATATTGAACCATTAAAATAACAATTTATTTTTATTTTTTATACATTAACTTATGAACTTAATAAATTGTTGATAAAATTTTTCCAATCAAGAATTTCTCAATCAAGAGATTCTACAAATCATTCAATAATAAACTACATAATCATTAAAACCCTTTCTAAACTTACTTGATACATTTCATTGACTAAAAAAAAAATGGCCCAGAGTTCTTTTAACTTATTTATTATTAATTATTATTCATACTCAAATTTATGAAAAAAAAATAACAATTTTCATATACTTTGTTTATGTCATGATCACTTATGTATATACATTTATAAGTTATTTTAATAGATATTTTCTCTATTCATATTTTATGCATGTTATTTTTTTCTCTTTTGATCAATTTTACTTATTCTATTATTTAATATAGACTTTAAATAAAAAAAAAAAAACAAAAACAGTAATAGTTTATATTATTATATTGATAATTCAAACCATGGAGCCACAAATACTATAATTAACTGATTTAGGTATAGAAATAATATATGTTATATGTTATTAATTTCTTACAATTTTTATATTTCCAAGTATAATACCATTATAAATACACATACATATATACTATAATCATGTAAATCAAAAATAAAATCAAACTGATCAGATGTTTAATTATAATTTATATTAACCTATGTTAAATACAATTCTGTAAATATTTTTTTAGTGTCAGTTACCTGGATTTTATGATCCATGTATTGGAGAAGATAAAGTTTTAATTGTTGAATACACTCACAGAGATCAAAATTATGAAGTAAAAATTAATGATAATGAAGCTCTGCGAATACCAAGACCACATTGTAAGTAAAAGTTAATTTTCTTTAAGTAATTTGAAACATGTCTATACATGTTAACAATAATATATCTAACGATTAAATAATGCTCCAAATCTACATTACTCATCAATAAATCAAGATAACAGCATAATCAGTAAAACTTTGTATTTAATAATAATAAACACTGATATTTCATGAATAACTTTAAATGTATTTAAAATTATTCTTTAAAGTTATTTAAAATATCTAAACTACATCCAATAGAAATATTCAGTCATCCACATCCGATAAATTATAAAATAAAGTATTTTCTATTAAATAAATACAATTTTTGTTATGACATTTTTTGATAGCAACAGTATGATACATATTCATATAATATTACACTTACAATATAAATGTAGTTGTAAATAAACTGTACTATAATAGGTTAACTCTAAAAAGTTACTAAATATTTTTTTTTAATAAGATTTTATGTTAAGAAATTTTTATTATATGAAATATTTTAATATAATTTATAACTAAAAAATCTATTTAATAAATGTATTTAAAAATACCTTAAAAGTTAAATTCTTATATCCTAGAAATACTTTTTTCAAATATCTGTATAAATCTTTGGGTATTTTCCCAATTTTATGCACACAATTAATTTAAATACAAATTCAATTTGTTAAAAAAAAATATATATATATTAATCTGTATATATGGAAGTTTAATATAATAAAAATTATTTTCAATTGCTTTTTCAATTTATCAATTAATAAAATAATAATAATTAAATGATTATAATAAGTATATTATCTTATAAAATAGAGAGATGGTTTTAATAACTGTAAACTATATCATATTTAACTCAAAATAATTTAAATAGTAATATGTTTTTTATTTTATTTTTAGCTCAATTGATTAGAACTTCTACACCGCCATCTTGATTGAAGAATCAAGTAATATATTTTAAAAATAGTTTAATAAATCATTATTATTATTCACTCTTTGTGTTGAATTAATTGTTAAAATTTGATGCGTTAATAGATAGATAATAATAAAAAAAATTGTTCAATTTACAATTTTCTTTTTTATATATATACTTGTTTATCAATCAATAGATTATGTTTTGTTAAATAGTTATTTAGTCTATTTTAAATTAATAAACCTTACTAATGAATACTTCACACACTAAAAAAACTTGATTACAATTTTAACATGTATTGTTACAGAAAGAGGTCTATCAAGCAGTTAGGTACATTCAACTTGTGTTTAAAAATTGAAAAAATAATTGATAAGTTATCTTAATTTACTGAATAGTAAAATTCTATCACAAATCTTATAAAGCTAGTTCAATCTTTGAACATAAACATTTTAAATACAACTTGATGAAATCATTAAAATTATTTATTTTCCATGTAACATTAAATCATAAATAAATAGATAAAAAAATCAAGTTAAAATAAGGTTTACTAAATGCCATTCATAGTTCTGAATCATAGATTTTTAAATATATATATATTTTTATGGCTTTTGTATGTATTATGGTCCAATCATATTTTTAATAATTAAAAATAAAAAAATTTAAAATTGCAATATACTTATTTTAAAAATAGCATATAGGTGTTAAAGACAGTGTGAAAAGCTATTCAAATAAATATTAAATGAAAGAAAGGAAGTGAAAGACCAAAAAAAAAGTGGATTGATAAAATGACACGAAAATACAAGTATGTGTAAAGATTAAAGAAATAAAGGATAAAGTCTCTATGGAGCCAAGCAGGTGTAGAAATAAGGTGACTGAACCAATAATATTGAAAGAAGAAAACTTTTTATATGTACAATACATATGAAAAATCAGTATTTTAACATTATTGATTGAAATACTTTATAAAAAGTTATAAATACAATAAATATAATTCATATATCAAAATAAGCATTTATAAAAGTTAATTAAGCTAATAACTATTAGAAAACAGTCTGATATATTAATCAAGTTGAAATTAGCTTGGAAGATGTTAAGAACTCATAAATATATTCACCTGTACACCATGGTATTACTTTAGCTGGTGTTATGCGAGACTTCAGCAAATTTTCCAAAACGTAACCCTTTCTTGGAAATGCAATATCATGTTCAGTCAATTTTAAAATTGGACACAAGTCATTACGACCATCACCAAAATATAATATTTTATTGTATATTTTATTTGTATTTAATGCATGTTCCTCCACAATAGCTCCTTTGCACATGTTTGTAGTACACAAGTCGCATTTAGTTTGAACAGTATAAGCTTCTATTTTAATGGCATTATTTACAACTGTTGCTGGATTTGTATAAATACTTGAAACTACATCTGACAATTCATTATGTTTCAACCAGTGATAGATAAATACTGAATTTGAATCGGATGCCACTATGATTTCAAAATTATTTTCATAAAGTGCTCTCATTAACTTAGGTATACCATCATTGGGTCTCATTAAGGATACAATATCTATTATTTTTTCAGCTGAAATTTCAATAGTTTTTATTACATCAAATACTTGTTGCATATACTGAGTCCAATTATTTGGAAAATCTTTTCTGTCTGGAATAAGATTGGTAGGATTTATTAAATCAATAGCAACTACATCAGAATTGCCATCAACTATTGTATGATCAAAGTCGAAAACTGCCAACATTTTTTCAAGTTCCTAAAATAATATTGTGCATGTTATTTAAAATTATTTTCAAAAATTTAATAAATATAAAAAATGGTAAGACTTATCAAAAAACAACAAGAGTCGTGTAAAAAAAATATTTTATTTATAATTTAAATTTACAAGAAAATATATTTTATGTTATTAATGTAACTGACATGCACGTATGGCAATAAGTTGTAACACAAGAAATATGGGAGACATAATTTCTGAATAATCCAGGTTTGAAAGTCCTGCTAATCTTCTACAAAGTAATACTTTAAATAAAGCCCACACAAACAACAATGCTGATGACCAGATAGTTCTTGCAATAGCTTCTTTGATATGACCTTCAATGTAAAGACGTATCAAAACAATAATGTTGAAATATGTACATAGTGCATCTGCTACAAATAAAGGCGAAAACACTATCCATATATCATAAGAACCAGGTAAAGTCGATGCAAAAGCAACATCATCCAAACGCAGTGCCAAAAAAACAGTAAAAATCAACAGGGCAATGAGATGCACTAACATTTCGAAGACTGTCAGCCCCAGCCATCTTACCAACTCTTGCAATGCAAATAACATTTTACTTGGTTATTTTTATATGTATGGAAGATAATGAACGTGGTCTCGCTTCATAATCATCATCTTCATTCAGTGGCTCTAAAATATCTAAAAAATATTTATAAATTTAAAACAAAAATAGAATAAATAAATAAATAAATAAATAAATGTGATTATCATACATAATTTAATTATAATTTTTCCATACAACATACCTTTTATATCTGCTGTAGATGTTTGTATATCCAATTTAATTGTGTTGTGAAATTTTTCCTGAAGCTTCAATGCTACATCAATTGTTGTATTTATGGCTTTTCCAAGACCATTTAATATTAAAACTGAATTATCTAATTCTAGATGTTTGGCAGCTCGTGTTAAATGACACTAAAAAATTTTAAATTTAATAACTAAAACCAAATAAGTAAAAATTTATAAAGAAATGTAATTTAAAAATAATGATAAAAATGACTTTTTTATTCTGTTTAGTTATTTTAAATTTACACTAAATTAACATATATAAGGTTCACACAATTTTAACAAGTAAATAGTAATAAACTTTACTATAAAAATTACTATGCTAAGTAAGAACATCAGTTATACAACTAGTATGTATAGTTATGAGTTGCACAAGATTAAATAACATTAGTAATATTGTAACTAAAAGAGATTTAAAACTTATGCAAAGTATAAAATGATAATTTTATTTAAGTGAAAAATTATTTTGTATGATTATAAGTTGTATTTATACATTAAACTTAATATTTAACAAAAACAAAAATCTAATAAATATAGATATTACTTTAACACATTATTAAATAAAAAATCCTTAAACAATACAGAAATTATTGAAAAAGCATAATATAAAAGATTTAGTTAAATCATAGTATCAAATAATAAAATACCAAAAAGTGCATTTCTTAATTTACAGTTTAAAATAATCCAATCATATACATATTTAAATCATTCAAAAAACATAAGATGTTCTTATATATAATGGTTATGTGTCGATTGTCTAGAACTGGTATTTGTAATCATCTTAACATAACAACATAAGTACTTAGTAAATATTTTAAATTAGAAGTTATAATTACCTGTATAGGTGTTTTTGATGAAACAAATAGTTCTTTCACCAAAACCGAATCTGATGCCGATAACGAGGACATGGAAAATTATTTTTCAAGTTTTTGGTTTTAGAATTTACTATTTACTATTTTATCATTATTCATTAGTATCTGGTGATAGCTAGGTTAGTACTTAGTTGCATAAAGTTATACCACGTTTTACACTACTGACAAATGAATTACTCAATGATAAATACTAAATAGCAGTCAATCGTGAACTCGTGATCACGAATCAAGACAGTAACTGAACCGTCAATCAGTGATCACTGAATACTGATCATCGGGACCCCGGATTACAAGTTAACGTTTTTATATTTTATACACAAACCTACTTTTTCGTGTTTTTCTTGTTCAACTTTCAGCTGTTAAAAATGTATTTAATCGAATGACTAACATTGATAAAATGATAACGTTTAGAGACCAATTTTTCTGAGTACTGACCACAGATTACGGAATAGATAAGCTTAATAATAAACTATATTTTATTATTTTAGTAACAAGTTTAGTTTGTTTTTTTGATAGTTGATACTAATTCAAGTACAGACCTTAGAATTGAGATTAAATAAGACACCGTTGTGAATTCATTACTAGTTGTCTGAAATTTATATATCTGTCTAATCATTCTACCATTCGTCACTCGAAAACATGAACGGTTTAAGTTTGTTAAAAAAAACTGTTCCCAGGAATGTGTACTTATTAAACCAGATTCGACCTCTACATGTGTCATATGCGCGGACCAAGTCGGTAGCCCCACGAGAATCGTTAAATTCCGAGTATGTATATTCTTAACTATACTAACTATTATAACACGTACACTTTGTAAAAACGATCCATCAAGCTTTGAGACATCTTAGGTAGGTAGTCTTGTAGCCAATTTTTTTGTAAAACTGTTATTTTGTTTTGATAAATTTAGAAGTTAAAAATGTATTTTACATTCAATACCGTTGAGACAAGTAAAATAACAATAACTAATTAAAAACATACAAACTATAAATATAATGACATAATGTTATATATTTTTATTTAAAAAAATGTTTTAAGTTACCTAATAAGTCGTTAAATATATTATAAATTTTAATGTTTCATTGTTTTTTCTAAATCCTATTTAGTGTAACATAAATAATATATTTGTTGATTTTTTTAGCTATGTGTTGGATTTACATTATGATTTCCATTATCGTGATCAAATACCATTTACAGAAAAGGATAAGAGGAATAATACTATAGCCGACGTTTCTATGGGAGTAGTTTTAGCATTTGTTCTATACAAATGTTACTCTGAACCTGAACATTTACTTGTATGTATTTCTAACATTGCATGGTGTTATTATGTAATAAATTTATTTTTTATGTGATTTATATCATTATAGGGAGATTTTCCATATCCTGATTCTTCAGAATGGAGTGATGAAGAATTAGGAGTACCACCAATTGAATAATTATGTATCATTATTTAATTAATTACATGTAGTGAAATACATATAATCCAGAAAAAAAATGTATTGAGAATTATTCAAAAATAAATATTACATTGCTTGTTATTAAATGTTTTTATGTTATTATTATATAATTATATCTTAAAAATTGTCTATAAACTATTATTGAGTACTCAAATTTAGTGACGGATCTAGACTAATGGTGCCCCTAAGTTGTGAAAAAAAGCCGGCTTCAAATTTTTTTTTTATTAAAAAAATAAAAAATAAAGTTTCTATTATAAAGAAATTATCATTAAAATATTTTTATTTTTTTATAAAAAATTCAATTTTTATAATTTGGCACCAAAATATTGCATAAAATCATACATTACATCAATAAGGTATATTATATATATCTTATTAGGTTTTAATTATTAAATTGTTACTTGGCATTTATTTAATTACGCGTCGTGTTTTTCTCTGCATACATATTTAGTTATATTATCGTCCATCAAAATCCAGAAATACCAGTAAATTAGCCTCAATATTCATTATAATTTACTTGAAAAAACAACATAATGAATTGAGCAAGGCATTGGATTCATCTGTTTACATTTTAATATCATAAAAGTCGATAACATAAATGGCATTTTAAAATAAAAAATAAAATCAAGTTGTTACAGGAAATAAAAAAAATAGCATTCCAATAAGAATTATTGTTTTTCTGTGTAGGAAAAATTTTTATTTAGTGAATAAAATTTGCTCTTTCCCCCTCTCCTTCTAGGTTGTAGCCTACTCAGCTTATAACTTAATCTAGTACTGCTAAAATTTAAAAAATACTATACTGTGGTCTAGAAATATATCCAAAAACCATTATAAATGTTTAAGACATATGCTTTAGTATATTTAATATATAAATAATTGATGAAATGAAATATGGTACACGTAAATAATATAAATATTATATATAAAATGTTCATATTTAACTTGAATTTTTATATTTATGTTAAATTCAAATTATTATTTATATTCATGTATATTTAAATTATTTTAAAAGTTTATTATTATTGTTATAGGTATTTATAGACAGAACTATTATATTAGTTGATTAAATATATTTTAGTATTCTAGTCTTAGGGATAACTACAAATGACAAAAATAAAATACCGATTTTTGTATGGAATACTTGTTCCTTATTCAAATTGAATATAAAATATATTCATACTTATTAATCATAAAATTTAACCTAATTAAAATACCAACAAAGGCTGTTAAGTAAAGTGTGTATTGCATTTAGTCTTTTCAAAATTTAAATTACCATTTGGAAATTTATCATAAATATTTAGCCATTATCAACTTAATAACAATCCATGATTAAATCAAATAAATCTTGATTTTGACTCGCAAGGATATTTTATTTAAATACAGATATACATCATTTTCAACTATTATTATCCACTTAAGTTTAAAATAACTAAATATTAACTTAAAATCAAAAATTTACAATTTACACATTAGGCTTATAAGTTATTTCATCAGAAATATAAATTTATAAGTCCTGATTCTAAACTTAGCAATCACCCAAACTCAACACTTATCAGTTATCATACTTCATATTAAAGTTTCAATGTAACAGGCTACGATTACGATTGATGCTAATATACCTGGTGATTATATATTAAATTGACATAGTGATTTGTATGACTATATGAAACCCTTACATCCAAGTATCCAATGTTAATTACATAGGTATATTTATGATACAATAAGAATTAGAAATAAGATCACTATTGATTTAAGTCATGGAACCAACTGTATCCTAGTAAATAGATATCTGCTAAATTTTAATAATTAACACAATAGATTTATATTTCAGTATTTCATAATATAGGTAATATAAATATCAGTAATTAAACAATCAAACTTATAAAGAATGAAACAAAATTTAAAAGAAATTCAATATTATTGTTAACTTTAATTAATATAAAAAGGAATACTTAAATTATACATTGATGAACATACATTTTTATTTATTTCATTGTATGAAATTTATTGCTTGATTGAGATAGATTTAACTTCCAAGTAGTCATTTAAACCGTCTTCTCCTCTGTGAACACAATAATGATTTAATATTAATAATTTAAAAAAAAAATAATTTGAACTTAAAATTCTTACAATTCTCTACCAAATCCAGATTGATTAAATCCACCAAATGGAATTTGTGCTGAGAAGACAAGGTAACTGTTAATCCTGTAATAAATTATGAACATTTGAAAAATTATTTTTTAAATTAAGCGAAGTGATAAATGTATTAATTTTATTTATTGATGTATTACATTTAAAAAGCTTTGGTTTTTTACATTGTGGGGTTATAAGCTCCCAAATATTCTGAAAATAACCGAGAAAAACAACATTTTTATATAAAACCAGTCTTAACCAGGCTTTAAAGTATTTAAGTCTTTAATGATAAGCTCTATTTCTTCTAAACCTGGCTCAGCAGGTGTTGCTGGTGAATTTTATAATTAAAATTGTGTACAAAATTTTATTTATATATCTGAAATTTGAAAATCTAAAATTTTTTTTACCTATAATAAAAGATTGTAAAAATATTTACTGGAAAATCACATTAATTTTCTATTAGTACTCGCAGTATAAATTTTTACATTAAAGATATTCATCTATGAAGTAACTCCCTAGATATATTTTCAACTCAATATAAATATTTTGTAGTAATTCAAAAATGAGTCACTGCAGCTATTTAAAATGTTCACCATATATTAATATTATAATTTTCTAAAAATTTTGATGTAGTTTCGAGGTTACAAGACAATCAAAATCAAAATCATCTTGTTTATAAATACTGTTATAATTACCAAACTGAACCAGCATTAACATTGTCCATATACTTCATCGCAATATCCATATTTTTAGTTAATATTCCAGCAGCTAATCCATATTTAGTGTTATTTGCCCGGTTTATTACTTCATCCAAAGTTTTGAATTTAATGATTTGTTGAACCGGTCCAAATATCTAAAAAATTAACATGTTACTAACACAATATACTTTTTACACAATGTACTTAGTAGTATAAAATTTAATATAAGTACAAAGTACATCAATTTATATTATCTGTTCTAAAAAATAATTAAATTTAATATATAAATGTGTATATTTACTTCTTCTCTAGCAATTGTCATATTGTCAGTAACATTTGAGAATACAGTAGGATACACATAATAACCTGTGTCACCAACTTTAGACCCACCAGTTTCTAATTTGGCACCTTCTTTTTTACCAGATTCAATCAGACTCAAAACTTTGTTGTATTGTTCTTCGCTTACCTAAAAAATGTAATTTAGTTAAAGAATTTTTGATTTAATAAAGTAGGTAGATAGGTAATTTAAATTTGGAAAAAAGTATACATAATAAATATTTATAATTTAAAAACTTACTAAAGGCCATATTTGTGTATTGGCATCAAATTGGTCTCCAACTTTCTTACCAGATGCCAATTTTGCAGCTTTTTTTACAAATGTATCATAAATATTTTCATGAACAAATGTTCTAGAAGCAGCACAACAATTTTGACCCATGTTAACAAATACCGCATCATGAGCAATTTTAACAGCCTCGTCAACTGTGTATAATAATAATATTTAGTATAATATTATTATCTATAATAATTAAATTAAAAATTCATCAAAAATATTTTTAAATTTTTACCATCAAAATCATCGAATATTACCAAAGGACTTTTACCACCCAACTCCAATGACACACGTTTTAAATTAGACTTGGCTGCTTCTTCCATGACTAATTTTCCAACCTTTTAAAAAAATATATATATTGAATTCAAGTTATGAAAACAGTAACTTATTTAATTGATTGATATTTACTTCTGTTGATCCAGTAAAAGTCACTTTATGTATATCTGGATGACTAGCTATAGCTTTACCTGCAGTTGGACCATAACCGGGTATAACGTTAATGACTCCATTTGGAAATCCAGCCTAAGAGGTAAAAATATTTTATGTTAGGTACCTAAATGAACTATAGTGATTATATATTTATGTTATGTAATTTCTATTTTACCTCTTTTGATAGTGCAGCTATATACAAAGCAGTGAGAGGAGTTTGTTCAGCTGGTTTTAATACAACAGTACATCCAGTAGTAAGTGCTGGTGCCAATTTATGTATGGTAATAATAATTGGATAGTTCCATGGTACAATTATTCCGACTACTCCAACAGGTTGACGTTTAGTGAATGTAAAATATGGTCCATCTATAAAAATGATATGTATTTAAATATTTTAATAAATAATTATTTGAGTGCAAGTTAATTAAATACAAAACTTCTTCACATACTGTGGGATATTTAAGTAATGCATTTTCAATCTTTAAGTATTACAGATACATAGGTACAATAGCATTAGACATTTAGACTTTATGTCTTAAACTTTATCCATATATAGTATAATGTTTGAAAACTTTTTATAAAAATCCCTAAAAATAGAAAATAGTTTTGGGCAAAATAATTTTTGTTTTTTTGAGCAATCTTAGATTAAATTCACTTATTTTTATTAATATTTTTGAAAGTTAATAGGCATATTGCTTTTATTTATTACAGTCAAATTTGCTTATTATGATCAAGAGACTAAGAGAATCTGATCATTATAACCGAACTTTGTTATATCCAGATTATAAAATGTAACAACACATAAGATATAAAACCAACCAAATACATTGCTTGGAATCGTTTTACCCGGAATATCGTTGTAAATGGCATCGTTATACGTGAATTCGACTGTATTTAACTTTATATTTAACTTTGAAAAAATTATGTACTTTAAAATGGATGATGTTAAAGACATTACTAAAAATAATGATACATCAAACCCTTAAAAATATTATTTTATATAATTTATATTGTGGATTAATTTATTTTATGATTATCCAAAAACCATAAGAAAAAAATGTTTAGTGAATGTGTTATAACTATTTAGTACGAATTAAAGAGGAAGGTAAAAAATAGTGTGCTGATTTACACAGGAATATTTTATCTTTTAGATCGAAAAAACCTATGTAAGTATAGTACGTATACATAATCATAAATTCTTAAAACTAGGTGGTAACTTTATGGTTAAAATCAAAATTAAATTTTTAGATATTCAAATTTTAAATACAAAAAAACTAATTTGTACTTGCAATAATTTAGATCAAGGAAATAAAAATAAGTTAATAACTAAAGATAAATCATATTCATATACACCTACCTGATGGTATAGTTTTTCCGTGAATTTTGTCAGCAAATCCCGCATAATATCGAAGAATTGAAACAGCAAACTCTACTTCTAACACAGAATTATTATATGGTTTACCATTGTCTAAAGATTCTAAATTTGCCAAATTAATTTTGTTTTTTTCTAACAATTCTGCTAATTTGTAGATTAATTGCCCTCGATCAGATGCGTTCATTGTACGCCATTCAGAATTTGGTTGAAATGCAGTCTTTGCTGCATTAACCGCCAAATCTACATCCTCCTACAATAAAACAAACTAGTTTATCATTTTTTATTTTATTTTATTCATTCATAGACGATAATTCTAGACGATAGTTCTAAATTTAAGTATCTATACTTAAAAATCAAATTAATTCAAATAAAAAAAAAAATAAAAGATTTTTTTGTGTTCATTATTTTGCAATAGACAGGTCGACTCTGGTTAAGAGTTTAAGACTTATTAAAATAGTATCTATATTAGCCTAAATAACTACATATAAGTGAATAACATATTATATATATTTATTATAAACCAAAAATATAATCAAGTTATTTTATAAATTATAATTCAACTTGTTAACAGCCAGGCTATAAGGTTAGGACTTAAAATTTAGTCCCATTCAATAATGTCTATATTATTTTAAAAATTTGTGTTTGTATCACTTATTAGTATCATACAGGCGTATGGACTTTGGTAGTAGAGTTGAGCTGATAAAATATGTTCCCCAAAACAGTCATAGATTATACAATAATAAAATTATAAAGTTGCATAAGCATAAATCTGCTCTCCTAAAATATAAATTCTCATATCAATGACTAAGAAATATTAATAAAATATTAATGATATCATTTTTTTTTATTGCTACTTCTTATTTGTAAATATTGAAGATTTTCAGTATTTTTTTTCTATACATAAAAATTATATATTTTAGATTCTGATCGGAACAATGAACGTATTACAATTTTACAATGATGCATGATTTTTGTGTATATGTAAACCATAAGTAGATTATAAAATGGTTCAACTTTAACTTTCGAAAGAGATTTTAGATAGAAAATTAAATACAATTAAGAAGTCTATATTTTTATGTAGTTAAATAAAAAATTCCTAGCCCTTTTTTAATAATCGGCAGAAACAAACAAAACATCAAGAAAAAACCGGAATTTTTTGCAAATCCAATTTTTGAAAAAATTAATTTTGTTTTTTTTTTTTGTGTGTGATTTGAGAAAAAATAGCTGTAGATACTTGAAATTTTAGTTGAATATTTATATTATAATTTTCTATTTACGAAAAATTTTTTTAAAATATTTCAATTTTTTTTGAGCTATTTACAAATATGAATAATTTTTGATTTTTTTTTTAATTTTCTTCTATGAATGGCAAATAAAAATTATTCACTGAATATAAATGTTTGAAAATTTAATACAAAGCTCCTCCTGAGTTGTTAATTTCTCAATTAAAAAAATATTGAAAATCTAATTGCAATACATTTTTATTAGTGTTTAAACTTTAAAGTTAAAATTTTGACAACATTTGCCAAAATATCTAGTTATAAAAATAATTTTGTAGTTAGAAATTAATTAAAACTTTTTATTTTCTAAGTTTTAAAAATTTAAAATAAGATTCTTCATAAATAGTTTATACTGGAAGCATAAAATCTGAAAAATGTGTGAAAACAATTATTTTTTTTTTAATTAAAATAAACATACCTACACATTCTTGTTCTTCTAAAAAGTGTTATTTGAGATTTAGCCACTTATGCCATATTATAAAGCGTATGCTCGCATTTAGCACGGTATGCAAGTGCATACCTACCCTGTGTGGCTGTGCACACGCTTTTGTAAGTGGTAAAACATAGCAAGAGATATATAGGTAGTTAGGTACTAGGTACTTTAATATAACTAATCTATTTATCTTCAAAAATCCATAAGATCTGTCAAATGTCAACCATTTAGACATAATTTAACTAATACACTAATCTATTTATGTTTATAAATTAATAATACATTGTATTTACTTGTATATTATTAAATTTTTTATGACACATATTGGTCAACCTAATTCAATATAATAATAGATATTGATTGTAATGAATAAAATAAAATTTATAATTAATGTTTAAATGTTCCATGATCTTACTTTATCTCCTTCCGCAACATTGATAATTATCTTTTTATTAGCTGGATTGATAGTAGAAAACGTTTTTCCACTTAATGAGTTTACGAAACTGTTATTGATGAATATCTATAACAATAGAGAAATAAAGTTGTCATTATAGTGAAAATACCGATATATTACGTGTTTGATTATTATAAGTCATATTGTTTAATTAATAATTACCAAAGGGTTGTTTTATTTAGTTTTATTTATTATTTAGTAAGTTTTAGTAGAAATTTAGAATATTAAAAAAAAAACTATTTTAAATAATGTTAATAACATAACAAAGCAAGATGATAAATGGTCACTTTTGAAAAAAAGAAGATATTATACGAAACTTAATGTAATCACTAGACCACTAGACACGTAGTAAGTCATTGTAGGCTAATAAACATTGTATTTGAAGCCTAATTAAAAAAAAAAAGAATAATTATGTAAAAATTAAATACCCAATAAGAATATTTTAATCTATATGTAACATATTTTATATTTTGAAAGCAATAAATAGTTGCATGAACAGATGACAATTTTAAAACAAGTTTTAATTATTTTTTTATTTTTTAAAACAGAAAACTTAACATAACACACCCTTCCCCCACTTGTTATTCATTCGTACCGGCTCTGATAAAAAAATGGATTATAAAAAAAGATACCTTGTACATACCTGATTATATTGAACTTTAATTTGTGAATTTGCCATATTTATATATGTTTATTAATTTGATTAAATTAATCTTTATTAAAGCAATGCAGTATAAACTGATGGTATACTTATGAGTTTGGCTATGGAATGAATCACAGCAGAATTATAGAGTGGCGCAATATTATTCAAGTAGACAACTGCAGTAGGCACTTTATACCTTTTATTGGTACATAAAGATAATAGATACAATGGCGTTTCTATGGAGGAACTGGAGGGGGAGATTCGCCCCCCCCCCACGTGCTGTATAACATATGTTCATTGCTATAAATTGTTGTTACATATTTACAAGGAAATCAGTATATTAATTGATATCATTCAAAAATTCTCTCGTGTAAAACCAAGGAGTTAGACTTTGAATTATAAACATGCATGCTATAGGTACTATATTTAAATAAATAAAAAATTCTTATATTATGTATTACAATGTTATATTTTACAAGTATAAAATAGCCCAATTCCTGTGTCTATTAATACAATTATTGTACTTGTGGCTTTACTTTTTTAAGTAATTTTCTATTTCAAGAGTTGGTGAAAATATATTTCGCTCCTCCCCCCTCCTGTAAGAAAGATCTAGGTAAACCACTGAATAGATTGATGATTATACAATATGTCAGGAGTTTCACTTTGGAATTTTTGAAATAACGGCAATGGGAGAAAATACGAAATTGACATCACTACTGAAATACCGTCGACCGTCATGGTATCCTACTAATTACTTGTCGATTATATTACAATGATGCCAATATTTTTGGAAAAAATGAATTCATCCTATTGTATTAGTGTATTATTAAAATTCAATAATAACTTAAACTACTACAATAGCAATATCAAAAAGTTATAAGTACCTAATTTATAAAAATTTTCAGTATTGGTATAATTATTAATTCGAAAATTTGAAACTCTACAGACCACAGGTTATGTCACCCTATAATATGTGGTTAATTTTTTTTTTTTAAGTTTTCATTGTTCGTAAATTGTGTGCAAATGAGCTTTAGTCATATAATGATATGCTTACATGTTATGATTGTGTAGGTATGCTTAACCATTCAATAAAATAAATAACGGTCAAGTTGTCCACGCAGATAACTGTTAAAATCTTATTAAGTATAAACACCATTAATCACTAATAAAAGGAACCTAACTTTAGGTAATACACTAATGCAATTGATTATAGAATAGAGAGATATCCCGTTTAGGCTTTATTAATATACAATGGTAGGTTTTGGTGTCTTTGTGATCACATGTGGGATGCAACTTATATGAAGCACTAGTGTAGTTGTGAATGTTGTGATGCGAGGTTAGGTTAAACATTTTATAGTTGAACCTAACTGATGACATAGATTCAAAATAAAATGTAGTTATCTTTATCTATCAATACGTATTAATATTGCTGACCTTAATAATTGTTTAATAACAAAATAAATGTGGGTATCAAAAATATTTTTGTTTATTTTATGATATATTTTTCCGTTTGTTAAAGGTATTATTATATTAGAAATAGTTGTAGTATATTATAAATCCCATATATAATTTACGGGACTAAAAAAAGCTCTCCGTTTTACATTAGATAGGTTTCGTTTTATCAAAGGTTTAATCCTAAGTTAAATTATAGAAATCTGCCGGTACCATAATAAATTTCCGCACAGAAGAGGATTCCGCTAAACAATGGCCGTATAAGATAGGTTTTGCTGTAGTTCCATACACTCGATTTAGAATGTTTTTATAAATTTCAATAATTTATAATAAAAATAAATGTATACATTTTATTATTTTTTTGTTTTTGTTTATTTCTATTATTTGTATTTATACATATTTTAACCACTCCTCCCCAGATTTTTGAAATTAAAGAGGACTCAAAATTATAACTTTAATAATAAGTGAGTGTCTTCTTCCTCTGACTACCATTTATTTTTAACTATTTGGTATATTTTATGATAAAATCATAAGCTATATGTCTGTAGAATAACCTATTATTTAAGATTATTTTTGTATTTTAATCTAGTTTTATTTTATAAAACTATTATATTTTAAATTCAGTGATAAAAAACAAATGTTAATTGTGAAGGTACATTAATAAATGGAAATACTACCTACCAATCTATTATCTAGATACAAAGTGTTATTTTTCATGGTATTTGGTATCTATACTTAATTAAGTTATCTAACTTAATTATAAATTATGATTTTATATTAGTCAACAAAATTCTAATAATGAACATGTATGTTATATATTTGTTACTAAAGAATATAATACAAGTAGATAGTTATTTATTAAAATCTTCAGTCTACTTATGAATAAATATCTATACTCCAGAGGATCCATATAGAATGAGAAAATTTAACAAGATTTTGAAATGACATAACCTTGAGTGCTATTTCACTATTTACCTACCTAAAAATATAATTAATTAAATTAGGTAGTAAAATGTGAGTAGTACTTCAATGATGTATTTAGAAATGTTTTTAGGGGGGAGAGAGGCACACACTTTCTAAAATTTTACCAAATATACTACCAAAAAAAGAAAAATTAATCTTCCATTTAATGTTTAAAATGCAAATAATTTATTATATTTTTAGTCAGTCATTAAGTTTAAGAAAATAGCAAATACAATCAATGAGGGGGCCATGACCCCTGAACCCCCCCCCCCCCCTGGGTATACTTTTGCAGTGCTTATTGGGTCTTTATGGATGGTTCGATGACTGGATAGCATGTAAGACTTTACAATTCATAATTGTTTATTTCTATGTATAATATACGATAAGATGTAAAGATGAGACCTAATTTATAACTTTCGAGAGTATTATTAATTTTACGTATTTACAATTACAATAATTCAAAATATGTAAAAGTGAAGTATCACCATATACTTAATAACTAGACAAAATAAACTCTAGTCCAGTGTCCCATTCAGTAGGTCCAAATTTTATCCCGATCGATGGATAATTGATATAAATTATATTAATAATACGAAAATCACGATATTATTAAACTGTCGTGATTTTGTATCTAATAATTAACAAAAAGGTATCGTGTACATACGTAATAGTTATATCCACTAGTCACTACCTAATATTTTTTCGATTTCATCCACAATCAAAAGTATAAGTGATTTTATTTTTATCAATACGAATCCAGGCATATTGCTAATTATTGGTTTAATTTTTTCATTTACCCAACTCAATTGTACATAAAACTATTAAAACTTAACCTATTCTAACATCTCACTTTCATCCAACACAGACAAATGATTTACACGGATAAAAGGAGTAGAGACTGATGATTCCTATTACCTTCTAAAAATATTTTGTTCTTTACATTTCATTAAATAATTTACATAAATGTTCATGATAACATTTAATTTTTTTTTAAATTTTAATATTATTTTCTTTCATTTTTGGCAAAGATGTGATATACACGGCAATACGACATACGTCTATATTTTTTCATAATTAATCATCATTATTAAATATCCAACTATCAAGTTCTAATAAATCTAAATGGCCAATCGACTTAATAATACCTACCTATAATACTCAGAAATCTGAAGTTAATAGTTATCACTTTATCAGTAATCACAATGACATAATAATCGGTCATGTTGGACATGTTGGTCAATGGATAACAAAACTTTATAACTATTAAACTTTGTCCGTTAAGTATTAAGCATGGTCTTGTACAACACTGTGGTATTGAGATTTTAATCAATTCTATTTTTAGTATTTTTTATCATAGAAAAGTAAAATCTACATCATTGACCTACGTATAAAGTTATAAGTTATAACCTACATATTTTATGACTTGTTATCTATCAATACTCATCGGCACATTTATTATTTTAAAAATATTTAAATACCAAATAGCAGTTAATCAATACTGATTTTAATTATTTACCTGTTTATTTTGCTATTAGATTAGGTAATAACTAATAACTGTTTAAAAGGCGTACCTATAATAATTTATTATTAACTAATATTTAGGTAATATAATATTACCAATATCGGATGTACCAGTGTAAATACAAATATATAATAAATAAACATAAAAAATATTATGTTATTCTTAAATCGGTTTTTTATGAATTATTTATCATATTCTTAATCTGCTATCCAAGTGTTGTATATTTTAATTTCAAGTGGTAAATGTTTTTATAAACAATAATTTCACTTTGAATATTAGGAAATGCCAATTAGGTAATGACCTTTTCAAGAGTTCGAGTTCTCTCTACTTTTGATTATAACCTAAAAGGTGTATCGCTACATCGTACTACGAGACCTATTAAAAACCTTGGAATATTGTTTGATCTTAAACTGAAATTTGATTGTCATATCAGCTACATAGTACATTGTGAACAAATCAAAGACAATTCTCGGTTTTATTCGCCGAAATTGTGTAGACTTCGATGACACTTTTGTTTATATATGGCTCGATTATTTTATATTCATATACATCTTGAGGATCACTGAGAACTGTATTCTTGTGCTCGTTCGTGGGTAACTCTAAATGGTTTTAAAACTATACATTTAGATTGGTAGAAATAGATTGATAGAAACAAAAATCTACCACAGTACCACATCCTATCAATAGGTAGAATTATTGTGATTAGCTAAAAAGTGTATTATAACATATTTCATAACTATTGAAATTATAGATAACTACAGTACTTATTTTGCCTATACTTTACGCCGAGTAAACTTTATGTTTGCACGATATATTTATTAAATAATATATTATTAATGTTTATATTTTGTATACAATTAATTTTATCAGTATTTACGTTGATTTTTAACGGAGTTTATAACGTTGATGATAGGTATTAAATATTTTAAAATTATATATATTTTTATCTTTTTGATTATAATTTATAATATCGTAATAAACATCAATAATATGTACTGCTAATTGGTTGTTATTAAGGCTCACTGTTAGATTTATTAGAATAATAATAAGTTTAAAATGAAGATATAAACTCTGCTTTTAAAAAAGTACTTCTTTCTGAATGTTTTTAGAAGCGTACAATGATAAAAATCACACAGCTGTCACATCAGTTGCCACTTCAACTTGTATAGGTAACACTATATATGATAAAAAATTACTCATGTTATATATTGCACTTTTGGAGAACATATTTATAAATATGTAGAATATATTTTGC